CCAATGAGTTCTTATTGACCTTCAAATTTTGCTTTTTGCAAGAATTCACCAGTTATTTTTGTTTTAAACATTTTATATCTTTGCAAAACTATTGTATTACCGAGACAGAACCATTTTACTTCGGGACGAAAACTAAATAGATTTAACGGTGTGTGGCATTTCAAATTATTCATTATCTAAAAATAATAAAATAACTGCCTCGTTGGCCGAGTGGTCGCCAGTGTGACTGCCGGGCAAGGGGTCTCGGGTTCGATTCCCGGGTCGGGCAAAGTATTACTAGATTTTTTTAAATCTTAGTAGTAGCACGGAGTCTGAAATTGTGCCCGGTACCTATATAGCAATAGGCTAACCCCCTATTACATGGGACTCATAACATAAATAGTGAATAAGTGGGTGTAACATTGTACAGTGGTATAATGTGCACCTCTGCGTAACCCTTCGGGGAAAAAAGGCGTGATGTTATGTTATGTTATGTAAAAATAACCAACTTATTTCCAGTCCATTGAAATATCAGTCGCCATTCAAAATAAGACATTATTCAATACACCAACAAATACGAACATAACATCCACCGTAAACAAACCGCTCCATATATATTTAAAATACCAACGGAAAAACGTGCAAAGAATCGACACAAAGAACGAGAAACATTTTAAAATTCCACACTAACGTATTCCATACTTGGAAAGGAATTTATTTTACATTCAATTTTCAGCTCAATACTGGCATTGCAGACGTAACTTATGAAAGACGTCAAATAAATATCGCGCATCGACATATAGGAGAAACTGAGAAATATTCTAAACAACTACCACAATATTCTTTGAGCACATATATTTTTGAGATATATGTATGTGCTTTGTTTTATGAAATTTGCACTTTAACTTTTGTTAGCTAAGAGCTATTTTCTCTTGTGTGTTTCGGTTGTTGTGTACTTAAGTTATAAATAGAGCGTCCGGATAATGGGATGGGATGGAAGCTATTATTTGCTTCTTGATTCGCAAATATTAATAGATGTACCTATTGTTTGTACGTAATATGTTATTACGTATAGATAGATTGCTTATTATGACCTTTCATTTCTTATCTTTAAAACCATTTCTTGTTCACGAACTCAAAGATACGAATGCCTGATCCTATATTTAAACTAGTCCTAGTACCTATTCAATTACAGAAAAATATGCCTTCAATATCTTTATTAGGTACAATTAATAAAGGCAATTGTCACTTAATCGTTATTAGCATACCTAATTTCTTTCGTAAGCAATCGCAATCGTCAAGGTTCTATCGATACTTTTACGGTAATCGTCTCAAGAGGAGTGCACCCAAATATTTAAAGTCTACAAAGAGGGAAAGGAACGAAATATCGATAAGCTCACTCAAGACGTTTCCTCGACCACGTACAGTCGAACTCAACGAGTTTAACAAAATCCTTTGTGCTGCTAAAGTGCACGACGCCAATAAAAGTGCTTATTTCGAGCAAACTTCCCCCGGATTCAGGTTCGAAGTACCACCGTGTCTAAAATTATACCTACTTTAACATTATACGGAAATCCGTATTTTTGGTACAGCTGATTTCATAATGTGAGTCGAATTCGGTTCTGGTATGTTGTAACCAAAAATAACATTTTTGATATAACGTCCTCATTGGTTGTAATTGCGATAAAGTATATACCTGACGAACTTGATTGCCGAATCAAGAAGTGTTATTGAGATAATATTTGCGTTGATGCAATTCCAGTTGTCTTTACTAAAGAAGTCAACCTGAACTAAAAATAAAATGTAGAAACTAGCACACACTCTAAACTATGTAACTTAAATCACACACGAACCATATACTTAAGCAAATATACTCAAATTACTTCAGGCTACGTATTATCACAACAGACGTCATACATCCTAATTCCAAACTTCGATCATGTAATCCCAACAAATGTAAATTTAACACTAACGTACAGTATCGTAGCGTCTAAAGTCGAACTACCAGGATCCAAGAATTAACAAGAGCTTTAATAAGGTTGCCTCGCCCGGATGTCCCAGCGGGTAAACAACTCACTGTTGTATGACTTACTTCCTCAGTTAGACACCCCTTAACGTTATGATGCCCTGGTACTTTAATGTGCAGTTAACGATGGCCGTTTGCTGGAATTGTTTGTGCCATAGAGATAATTAAAGTTGTGCACTCAGCATAATTATGATTCTCCATCGTAAAGCTTGAACAGCTTTCATTTATGAGAAAATATAATTGAAAACTTGTAAATGCATGACTAGCTGTAATTACTTAACTAGGTCTTTTTACTAGACAGTTTCTTGGTTAAGTTTGAGGTAAGCAAAGACTTAGATATTCAGTACTTAGACATTAATCATTTTTTTATTTTTTGGACAAAGCAATATTGTCATCAATTTTCTCTCACCACTTAGGATGACAAGAAACCAAAAATCTCCCTAACAATTAACACAATTGTCAAAAATACAAGTCTTTCTTTTATTTGAGAACTAATTAAGCAAACCTACACCTTTTAAAAAACGAATCCAGCCTAATTGCAGTGAGCCTAATCTAATTGCCTTGTCTCCAGTTAACTAAGTTCCGCTCAAGAATACAAAATGCCTATAAAGAGTGTCGTCACAGCTGGCGACGGCGAATAGTTACGTTTAATTTTATTATCCCGGGAAGACTGGCCGGTATTGGCAACCGGTGGCGACTGTACCAGGATTATTCTGCTTTGTAGTATTTAGTGAAGCTGTAGTGATGCGACTGTGTGAATGGAATAGAGATAGGCGATAAACGAAGTAAATTGATAAGTTGATTTGATCAGGTAGTTTCAAAAGCTGTATAATTAGGTTAAAATTATTGTATTTACTAATTGCATGTATGTCTTTACTTTTCAACCCTACCTATGATTCCGTTTCATACGATTACATTTTGTTTTTTCATCCTTTTAACAGTTGTCGTCATCTTATTTGAAAATGGATGACAGATACTAACAATACATAAATAACACTAAAGATCAGAAGACAAAACTCTTACAAATAACAAATCTACAGCAGCAACAATATTTTAAATAACATTATTTAATCCCTGGTACATTTATAAAGAATATAATCATGTTATCTGTAAAACTACGGCTTAGGGAATGCCCTGTAAGTTCTCGAGGAAAACAAAGCGGGATTGCTTCCGAGGAAATTGAATTTTGTATCAATCTCGTCGGGACGATTTAAGGCTGCGTCAACTTGTTAGACGAAACTTTCTTACTATTATTGTGTTGGTATTACTGTACAATGAATTTAGTTGTGTGTAGTATAATAGTATTGTATTTTATATCAGTCTTCTCATTTAAGTCTTCCTCGATAAATCAACGTATGTCGCACATTTTGTTTTTTTTTTTTCATTTACAGCCAGCAGTTTTATCAAGTGATGAATTGAAACATAATATTGATTTTGTCATAAAAACAGTAGTGTATTAAACCCTGAATTTGTGAAATATACAAATCGAGACGCGCGGCCGCGCGTCAGCCAAGTTCAGCAAAACAGCGCGCGCCACAGTATATCTTTACACGAACCACTTCGTGCCACTTTTGACCCCTCTATAACTCATTAATTTTAGTCTATTTATTTTGAAACAATATCAAAACAGTACTACACCACAAAACTAAAATAATTATGTAGTGCTGATTTTGGAATAAAATTGTCAACTAGCTGTTTGTATTCGGCTTCACCCGCGTGGAATATAGAATATTGGCTTCAAGTACCTACGTCATGATTCTGTAGATATATTGAGATAAGAAATAGACTATATTTCTTTCTGAAAAGTGAATTTTCCAACAGAGAAAACATTTTCTGTCCAACCAAAGCAATCTGATAATTTCGGAGCCAAATACATGACTTAATTGTATTCTCTTTCCAATATTAGAGGTAATATAGTACAGATAGTCTTTTAGCTTATGCCTTTCATTGTACTCTCAACTGTTTGCATATCAAGAAAATTGGTTGTGTATATGATGAGAACGCGATAGGCCAAGAACCCAGGGCGTAATATTCTCCCGTGCCCGCCGCTATTGCGGGCCCGCAGCATTTGTAGAACACAGATAATTATGTACGTCAAAAATCATCCGCCAAATTGCGGGCCATAATCGCAACCACAGCGGCTGCGGAATCGCAGAAAACTACGATCTCGTGAGTAATCAAGTATTATTTATTGAATAATAAATAATACTAAAAATCAATTTATTGAATAATAAATAATACTACATAATACATTAACAGGTGGTTAGAAAATACAATAGTCACAATTATGGACCCTGTCGGGCACAGCTACATTTAAAATTGGTAGGAGAGAGGAAGGGCGTTTTGTTTGATTACTATCAATGTAAAGTCAACATTAATAAATAAGGCACAATTCAATTATTGTAATGTATGCATGTTATCTATTCAGTCGTTCTTTATCTAGTACCTACATAGAAATATATTATATATTAAGTCTATCTTTACTTTTTAGTATCTATATATAAGGAATAAAAATTAATATTTAATTTAAAATTCCGCCTCCATTCCGCCACATCGGCGGGCGCGGCAGAAGATGATGATAAAGAGTAAACAATAAACAGACAGCCAAATCGATCTCTCTTTATAATATCAGTTAGTGGTACGTTAATAACAGTTAATTAAATTTTCGAATATATTTGACATGATGCTTAACCGGTTCATAGGAGCAATTAACAGAGGTATTTGTTTATAGTGCGTAAACCAATACATTTATGATTTATTCGGAAATGTTGACGGTTGGATCATTATGATATTGATATAATTAATGTTTAATTATTATTTTAAATACAAATACGTATTATAGTAATCGTTTTGATGTGATGTTATAAGAGTTTCATTGTTTTATTTCCTGATCATCTGATCTGTTTTTATGATAACTATGGTGAGACAATCATACTGAATTAAATAAAAATAAGTGTTTACTCAAGTAAATAATATACTGAGAAAAACCCTCGTAGTTTCGAGTAACAGAGGGACTCTTCTTCATGATCTATGGAGTTTCTTGCTCGTTCTTCTCCATAGAAATTAACACCTTGGAATGAGCAAATAGCTTCACTTTTAAATATTTTGGTGCCTTCCTGGTCTAATTGAAAAAAAATTATGATTTTGATTTTGACTTTCAGCAGCGTGCATCTGATCTTTGGCAAGCAATGCTCTGTGTTTCAATGATTATGTGCTACAAAACTATTTTTTGTTGCTAAGAACTTTCTTAGCATGTGTGATAACTTTATCACACATAATCAATTTATTTAATATTCATAACGCTAGAACGTAGTACAAAGCTAATATTAAAGTAGGTCATTCAATAGCAAATATAATAAAGTAAGTAAATTATAACAATCTATGTACAATCAATGTTTAATTTTATTACTTTGAACAATAGAGTTCATTGTGTTTGTGCACAACATTATTAGTGACAGGGTGGTATATTGATTAATGGTTTATTATATCGGTTCATACAATGCAGGCCTTGGATACCTAATCGATATAACTAGACTACCTACAGGTCATGTAATACGCTTTTTCTATGCCTAGATCCATTAAAAGTTAGTTTTTTTTTATAGTTTAGCTTTTGAATGGCTACGAATAAAAATAATTCTTTAAAATTTTTCATCATTAATTTTTAAATCGCAAGTTATTGTGACTAAGCTTTACCTCTTACTTCAAAACTTTTCAAATAGAACTTTAGAATATTTTAAAAATATATATGTTAAGAAAATTTATGTATTTGTAACGTTACAATTAATCTAGAGGTACTGTAACGTTACAATTAATACAATGTAACGAAACGTTAAAACAAATTTTTTTGTTGCTACTCACCTAATATCATCATCATCAGGATGATGATCCGGTGGCAGGTCGGGCCGGAGGTCACCGAGCGCCCGCGCCGCGTGCCTCCTCCGCCTCTCATACCACAGCCGTCTTTGTTCCCTCTCATTATCCCTCTGAACGCCGAAAAACGTCTGCGTTTCCCTTTTGAGGTAGTCTCGTACAGCAACCGTATGTGTTCGCCGTAATCTGACGCCATCTTCCTGGTCTTGGGGAGCGGGGTCTGGGGGTGGTTGGGTGGGCGCGGGCGGGGCGGAGACGACGCGGGGAGGTGACGTAGGCGCGGGGAGTGGTGGCGCTGGCGCAGACGCTGCTGGTGATGATGACTGGCATGCCAGCTGCGGCGCCAGTAGCCCCGCGCTTGACCGCCTGCAACAATACGAAAAAGAAAGTTAATAATTATTCAGATCATATGCAAGACTCCATAAGTCTTGCCTAATAATTATTATTTGAGAGTATCTGTTAAGTATGCGTATATGTACATAATTCTGAACACAATCACCACGACGTATATGAATCTCAGATCTATTTATTACACATTCGTAAAAGCATAATATATTTAGAAGTAATACAATCGCTTGTATTTACTTCCACAACTTAATACCAATTAAAAATAATACACATGAAAGTACGAATTTGTCACCAAAGAGAGATTATAGGAAAATAGTTACAAAGACCGAGATTTCTTCAGTTCTGTGAGTATCAACGGAATTCATTTACCCGGCACCCGAGTCATCGTGAAATTGGCCGAATTGATTCGGTATTTCCGATTGCAATTCCGATGAAAATCGATTCGCATCGCCTGTAGTCAATCATCGAGCTATGGTCCCAAATTATTCGACTATTTAGATTCTGTTTGTTAGGAATTTGGGAGAAGCAGAGGGGAAATGTTATGTTGGGTTGCTGTTTAAATAAAGGAATGTCTTTATGTTTTTTATACTGATTTTCTTTCTTTTTTTTATGAAATATATAGCCGTGTCGGTGACGTACTAGTGTGTTGCATAATTTGTAATATACAGGCAAAATTTTTGGAAAGTACTAACTTTTGGAATCTAAGGGATAAGCCGGTAATCGAGCCAGATCACCTAATGGTAAGCAATCGGCGTCGCTCATGGACCCATGGAACACCATAGGCGTTACTAATGCGTTACCAGCCTTTTGGGGATTAGGATTTTGAGAATGATTGGAGATTCAGAGATTGAGGAATGTAATAAATAAGTGTTATGTTTTATTTATATTACATAGGCTTCTTTTCCAGGAAACAGGTTTTTAATAATGTAACATTGTTGTGTTTATTAAATTTTAAGACTCTCATTGTGATTTGGTACCATTTATTTATTTTTCGTAAGTAAAATAAGGAAATATTCCACATATTTATGATAAGACGATTACTGAGTTTTTATATCAATTGAAGCACCGATCTACTCACATTTACCAAGATTTTATTTTCGGAAGAAAATAAATATTTGAAGATCCACCTCTAAATAGAGTTTTCTTAAAACATATCAGTGAACCAACTAGTATTCAAAAAGAGAACAGTTATAAAAAATCATAACATTATTTTAAAATTAAATCTATTTTCTTTGTGAGTTCAATGTACGAAGAGATTCATAGTAAATGTATGTTTTATACCAACTAAAATATATTTTTAAGGTACATATTTTTAAGACATCTTTTTAATCATCTCTTTACATTTTGTCCAAAGAACTTAAATTCAAGTTCGCGTAAAGACAACTGGTTTTTCAAAACAATGTTCCAACTTAACGTGAACTTTATGAAAAAGCTAACCATAAATTAAGATCCATATAACAAATTATTCCCTAAAACCCAACACCTATTTCAATAAAATAGAGCACAATTCCTAAATGTACCTAGACACAAATATACCTCTAGGCATACTCAATCGTCTTTAAATTCCTACGCAGTCTATGCCACTATTATTTATGCTTCGCACGCCGGTATTAGGCGCACAGGTGTAAGTTGAGCACGCCATAATTTCAGCGCAAAGCACAAACAGTAAATTAAGACACACTGTATAAGTAATGTCTTTGACAAATATACCTTATTATTGTTCTGCTACACCCTGTATAGGGGATTAAGATGTTTTATGTGTGTATTCTGTGTGCATATTATGGTGATGTGTTTGTATTATGTGTGTCAGGTGAGAGTGGCAGGGTGGGGAATGGGGTGATTTTGGCGGTGGCATTTTTTTGTAATATTTTGTGATTACAAGGTTCAACGTGACGTTGACTGCTAGGTCGCAGTGATGGCAATAATCACAAAGAATTAGAATTTATTTGTGAAAATATATTTTGTGGGTTTTTAGAATTTAGATTTAAAATTATTGTGAAGTTAATTATAATCCGTGATATCAAGTCTTTTATTTTTATTTTTTGGCATGACCAAATTGTCCAGTATGTCAATTTTAAATAACTAGAGTCAATCAAGACAAAAATCATCAAATGGCAAGAATATACATACATATGTTACCTGAGAAACTTAACCTTTATTATGAATCCTGATACCAATAATACATTTCAGAATAGAATCACATAAGGACCCAACTCAACTATTCTCGTATGAAAGTTACGTGATTTTCTTATATTCCTTTATATAAGTACCTACATTTAACTAACTGCGAATATATCGAAGCACGATTACTTACATGAGTCCAGATAAAACGGGTATATTTAGGCACCCTCGATCGCAATCATCAATCTCAACGCTAACACTAACACTTCAAAGAGTCAATGAACTTGTGTCCTTGAGATCTTAACTCTTAGAACTTATAGAAAAACAGATTAAGTAGCAAAGAAAATGTAATAAAATGGTTCATTTGTTGATGTAAATAAGGCTTAAAATGGTTGAGTAAATATAAAGCTACATACGTAATGATATTTAGTAGTTTTGTTTCTTGAAGATTGATAGATAATTCTTAGAGGTATGTTGCCCCACCTATGTTTTCAATTAGAATTTTTGTTATTCACAAACTGTCTAATTTATTTTGATATACATTGTGACTGAAATTGATGATATTAAATTAAGTATACTATCCTATCAATATTTGTCGATACGGAGCCGCAAAGAACACAAATGGTTACCGGAACTCCGGCTCGAAGTGCAGGAATACGAACGGAGTGGTTTTTAGCCAGTAAGTTACATTACCTTCACCCTCACCCAGGCGGGAGAAGTCATTCGATGTTTATCCCTCCTTAAAAATAATCCTACTTACTATTGCCATTTTTTATAGCATAAGCCGATAAACGAGCAGACGGATCACTTGATGGTAAGCAATCGGCGCCGCCCATGGACACTCGAAACACCAAGGCGTTACAAGTGCGTTACCGGCCTTTTGGGAATTGGGAATTTGAGACTAGGGAGGGGGTAACCTCACTCACACGACGAAACAAAATAACCTCAATAACTTTATTTTTAGAACTATAAATATAGAAACTCAACAACTCTAAAAATATAATGAAACAAAGCATCCATTCAGTTGAAAAATCCGTACAAGTAAATGTATTAATATAATTTTTAATGTAAATTATACTGAATACAGAAATACTAAAATATTTCATTTTTAATATTTAATTTATTGAGTGGTTTCACCCTTAAAGGGCACTTGAACATCGTTCAGGGTTAAAAAGGATCCCCTTACGAAATATTAAGAAAATTCTATGTACTCAGTTTAAAAATAAATATTAATAATACATTTATTCGTCAATGTAATAGACAACTAGGTATGAAATGAAATTAACAGTCCTCCATTTTATAATTTACATTAAGTTTTTTAAGAAAACTTTTTGGATTCTCGGGAACAAAGAACATACTTAACATAATCTTTAATATGAACCAGTTCCATCTTTACAATAATAAATACTATAAATAACTTTGGAATATTATAATATGATTAAGAAAAAAAGTCGCAAGTGCGACTACCGAGCAAGGAATCAGTCAGTTTCGATACCGAGTCGGGCAAAGTATTACGGGGTTTTAAAAAAAATATCAGTAGTGGTACGGCGTCTGGAGTTGTGCCCGGTCATATATCGGCAAGAGGCTCACCCCCTATTACATAGTGAGAAGTGAGTGTTACATTGTACAGTAGCATTAAGTGCTGTAATGTGCACCTCTGCCTACCCCTTCGGGGATAAAAAGGTGTGATATTATGTTATGTAATTATATTAAAACTAGCATTTGTATTTCATTCAAATGTAAAAATGTAAAATTGATACACAAAATCTTTCAGGCTTACATTTTTAGAGATAACATTTTGTTCTGAATAAGCAGATAAAAGAAATTGAAATTTAAAATCTCATGTTATTGTAATTGAAGCGAGACAAACGTGACCAATCGCGTAAATAAATTGAAATAAAATAAATATCTTCAAATAAAAATAGAGTTTTCTTTGTAAATCAAAATTTATATTCTAAAATAGATTTCAGAATTTAAGCGTATACATATTGTCTTTGATAGGTTTCGCTACGTTTGAGCGATCAGTTTCAAAAATATGGGCCTATTGCTTGTGGCATCTTTTGTATTAATTCTAAAGAGGTACCTCAGGAGATGTGTGTCCAAAATCCTCGGGTGCTAAGTGAAAAAGGAATTATTATACTAATTTTTTCAACTAAAATAATATATTCTCCCTCAATCTCGATACGTAGGTAAGTGGTTTTTATTGATAACTAACTCTCTGTGTACTTATCTCAACGAAATACAACATAATGCAATGCTAGTCTAATCATTGAGCCGCAGAGGACTTAACGGATTGCCAGGGCCCCGGCTCGAAGGGCAGGAGTAGAAACGGGGTGGTTTTTAGTCAGTAAGAGTCTGATACTCGCTCCCGCCTCACCCAGGCGGGAGCAGACATTCGATGATTTTCCGTCCTAAACAAAATAAAATAAAAAAAGTGTAGTCATTGTGATCGCACCTAAATATTAAGTTGTTAACCAAAGCTCACTAGGAACAAAAAATATTGACAGATCTGTTCCGAAGTCAGCAACTTTAATATGACAATAACAGCTTATTCTTTCATCTGTTAAAGCTAGAGTAACTCGATAACCCATTTGAAAGTTACTGCGTTATCTTCAACGACAAAATTCCCTGGCTATTACCCAGATCACTGGATATCGATCATCGTTCACCAGTATTCCACTCACGTCATCCGCCCAATAATGCAGATAGGTACCTAGTTTCCATCCATGTACCCAGCTGATTGCTATTCTTACCGCTTGTCCAATATCGGAGCTATATTGCTCCGTATCGGGAAACCGTTATTAGGCCATACATCTTGATACTTGACAAACAGAATGCTATCACACGTGTTTTGAAAATGATTTGTTGTCAGAAAAGTTCTGGTTAGATTTGTGTTA